TCTCAATGGAGAACGCTTTTGGAGCTATGCGTCTCAAGCATTTGGCAGGACACCAGCTCCCGCGATTGACATTTTAAATCTCTCAATGCTTGTACCTTAAGCTTATAGTTCAACATGGCTTCCTTGCAACTTCTATGTATTTCACTGTTCACAGCCTCCATCTGATGCAATCTCACGTAGTAATATCCGACAGAGCAACGTCAGAAACTCCCATCAAAATCTTCCTTTGTAGTGATGCTAACATTTCAACACTGTAACTACGGAAGAGCAGTGAAGAGACCTAATTAACTCACTAACTTCATGGACTGAATTTTTTAAGAAGCCACGAGATCTCAGCTACTCATGGACTTCCCACCATTTTATGAAACTCGAAGGTTCATTGCCGTATTCACAATAGCCTGCCACTGGTCCTTATCCTGAGCCAGGTTAATCTACTCTACTACACACACTTTTAAAGAATTAGAAGGTTTATGAGGGCACGTGATAGCGTAGTTGGTTGAGGCACTATGCTACAAGCCAGAAGGTCGCGGGATCGAATCCCTATGAGGTGGATTTTTTTAATTTACCTAATCCTTCCAGCCGCAATATGGCCCTGGGGTCGACTCAGCCTCTAACTGAAATGAGTACCAGGATTATTCTTGAGGGTAGAGGGCGGTAGGCGCGTAAGGCTGACAACCTTACCGCCATCTGTGAGCTGATTATCTAGAGAAAATGTGGGAACCTTGACGTATCACAACCCTATGGACTTCCACGGCCTCTTACAGGGATAGCTTTACTTTTTACTTTTTAGAAGGCTTATTATCGTGTTGACAAACCCCATTACTAGACAGCAGTACATAGGCCCTAACGAAAAAATCAGTTACGAATGTTCAAGAGTAACGCATCGTTTGTTGTGTTCAACAGTTGAGACGGTGTTTTGTATGGAGATGAAACCTGGTCTCTCGCCCTTAAGGGAGAACAACATAGAAGAAAGTAATTAAGTGAGGCTGGAGAGATGTAGAAGAAGAGGAAGTCCACACTTCATACTCCTCACTGGAAGGGATATCTAGCACATATCTGAAATATAAATGTAAATGGAAGGACATTGTTAAACTGAACGTTGAAAATGTAGCGGTTGTGGGGATGTGATTCACATGATTCACAGTAAGGTTTTTTGGTAGAATTTTGTGAAGACAGAAATGAACATGCGGTTACCATAAAAAATGAATTGCAGCTTCTTGTTGTACTGTGTAGACCTGACTTTTCTTTCCGCTTTTTGCCGTTTATGTGCAACGTCGGTTAATATTCTCTCGTATTATCTTTCTTGTCACTATATGTTTCTCCCTAACCGGCAAATATAAGGTATTCTTTACTAAGGCAGCAATCAAATTTTTCTACTCAAGAAATTTGAACTATGAAATGAGTTAGTGTGAGGGTTTGTAATCCTCCAGCCCAACTCCCAGTCTGGAGGACAAATGGCTCTACAGCCCTTTGTGGACCTTGGTCACTTTCTCAGTTTCTTAATCTTACAGTCGGTAGGACTCCTTGGACGAGTGTCCAGCCCGTCGCAGGACCGTTACCTACACACAGAACAACACAAACACAGAATAAACGCACACAGACATCCACACCTCGAGTGGTATTCGAACCCATGATCCAAGTGTTCGAGCGGTCGAAGACAATTCATGCCTTAGACCGAGCGGCCACTGTGATCGGCACATGTACTCGTATGTATACTGCTTAATAAATATTTTAACGATATTATTCCGCAATGGCCTTTTGCTTCGAAACAGGGTACTTACCTATATACCGCTGTTGCACGAAGCGGCCTGCACTGTTTGACGTTTCCCCGCTGGAGCACAAGAGCCAGCGTTTATTTTCAGTATAAACTCGTTTCGGCGCTGGAGCGACACCGGGCGACGACAAACCAACAGCGCCGGTTCACTGTAACGCCGATCCCGCGCTACTACGTGTTGACGTCGCCCCCAAATTACCTCTGTTTACGCGAAGAAGACCAATGTAAAATTGTGTCTTCTCGTATTAAACCAAACATTGCGGAAACGGAAATGAAAAATACGAAATTAATGAGAAAGTGCACTAAATTATTTATTGCTTTCTATTTCTAGCATTTTGACGAGTACTACGTTTTCTTCTGGTAGAAGGAACATTCATATCGCACGCGGAAAGGAATTAAGCGTGGCCGGTCACGGTAGACGAGCGGTCTAAGACATGAACTATCTTCGCTCGGTCGGACGCTGGAATCGTGGGTTCGAATCCCACTCAAGGCATTGATGTTTGGTATGTGTATGGGTTTATTCTATGTTTGAGTTGTCCTCTGTTTTGGTAGAGGCCTAGAGACGAGCTGATCACTCATCCAAGGAATCCTACCGTCTGTAAAATGATCAAAATGAAAGAAGAAGAAGAAAAAACCTCGACACCGAAAGGTATAAGAGGAACGGATTAAGTAAGTATTTTACGTCGCTGCCAATGTTAGGGTTACTTAGCATCGATGATGAGATGAATGATGAAAATGGAGCAGCTGGTGGAATGAGAATTGACAGAGAAGATCAAAGTACTCGGAGAAAATCCGCCACTGTTCTACTTCGTCCACCACTTGACCTGCGATGATCCTCGGGCCACCGCGGTGGCTGACAGTCTGCAAAATATGCAGGGAGTAATTAATAATTACTGGTAAAAATAATGAGTAAGTGAAAAAAGACAAGAGAACGAAAGAATGTAAACAATTTCTTTTTCTTGGCACTACAGCGCCAGTGGGCCTAGGCCTACCTCCATGAACTTCGCCGTTCACTTCGGTTTTTCTATATCTTAGACATACGGTAGGACTCCTTGGGCGGGTGATCAGCTCGTCGCATGGCCTCTACCTGTACACAAACACAGAAAAACGGACACAAACATCCATGCCCTGAGTGAGATTCGAACCCGCAATCCCGGGTTCCGAGCGAGCGAAGACAGTACATGCCTTAGACGCTCGGCTACCGTGACCGGTGTAAACAAATTTAGCGAAGAATATAACAAAAGACTGAGATTTGTAGTGGTTAGAGAGAGAAACATTAACCAAATTTGGAAATAATGCAGGCCTAATGCTGGATATTCGAGACGTGTACATACGTAACACGAGTTTCTGACATGATTTGGATATGGACCTATATAAATACGCTCGTACTTGCAAGAAACCAGCATCAAGCATGAAGCAAGCAGATCTTCATCCTGTTTTCTTTCTTTGGCCCTGAAGATGGAGACGACATGTTCCTTCGAAAAGTCTATGCAATCTCAACACACTACACAGCATTATGTCTCAGAAGATATGACACCCGACTCATAGTATGTAGGCGCACTGTACAAACTTTTCATTAGCATCTGTGATAAAAGGAAATACTGTACTTCTGAAACGAGAGAAATCAAGTCCCTCGGATTCTGTCAGGAGTAGATTTACATTACTATCATCATCACGGCCACGCCATAGCTCAAGCGGTTAGTCGCTGACTTCCCTCCCCGGCTGCCAGGGTTCGATCCCGGGTCTGGTCAAGTGGGATTTGTAGTGGACAAAGTGGCGCTGGGGCAGGTTTTCTCCGAGTACTTCGGTTTCTCCTGCTAATCTTCATTCCACCAATTGCTTCACAATCACCCTCACCTATCATCTGGGGCTGGTACAGTAGGCCAGAAGTGGCCGCAGTACAAGGGACTTAGTCCCACCCCACAAGCAATACAAAAATCATCATCATCATCATTGTCAACGTGTGACCAATTAATTGTTATTCTCTAACTGGTGTATACCTAGATTTTGTCTTTGAGTGTGTGTACACGTTTGGTTTTTGGTTCTTTTGCTTTTCGTCTAAACTAACATCGGTCGTTATGCTGTTGAGTTATTATTATTATTATTATTATTATTATTATTATTATTATTGATCACATTTCTTGATTTCATGACTCCTGTTGTCCGCGGTCAGCGTCAAGCTGATGTCTATTTTGATTTTTCGAATCCTTTTGACCTCTTCCCCTGCTCTTGCATAAGTTAAGCTCTGGATTCTCTGGTGGTTACGTTAGTTAGTTTCGCAGTTACGTAACCAACAGACAATGTCGGGTTAGCTTTTCTGGTGCTCTCTCTTTACCGTTCCAAGTAACATCCGGTGTGCCCCAATGTTCTGTCCTGGTGCCTTTTCAACGTATTTATTAACGACGTATGTAACTATATTAACCATTGTAAATTTTTAATTTTTGCTGATCTCGAAATATTCCGCGTCATTAACTCTCCACATGATTGCCTCTTAACTCACATCTGACACAAATTCCGTGAGGGACTGGTGCACTGCTAACTCCATGAATCTCAATGTTGCTAAAACGCGTTATGTCATACTCTGGCATTATCTTCAGCTTCGTAATCTTTTTTACACAGGCGGTAGGACTCCTTGGACGAGTGATCAGCCCGTCGTGACGCCGCTACATTCACAGGACAACACAAACACAGAATAAACGCACGCACACAGACATCCATGCCTTGAGTTGGATTCGAACCACGATCCCAGCGTTCCAGCAAGCGAAAGTTCATGCCTTAGACCGCGCGCCCACTATGACCGGCAGTCTAACCCTTACATCCGTATATTCTGGAGATGAGGTGTGGTCGAGTCCAAGGTTTCTATATTTATGTGATATTGGATGATCCATCCCACACGTTTTTACTTTCAGATGACACTGCGCTCTGTAACCTGAAGTACGTGTATTCGAATGACGGGTTTATTGGATGATCTAACCAGTATATTCCTGTGTTCTAATGATATCGGTTGATCTACTGCATGTGCTTTTATTTTTAGATGGCAATAATAAATAATAAATTTATATGTTCAGATGATAATGTCGACCTATCGAAAACATGTTTATGTCCAAAATACACCAGACGATCTAACCCATACTTTATTGTTTTCAGGTGATACTGTCGACCCAACCAAAACAAGTTTATGTCCAAAATACATTAAACGATTTAACTCATACATTTCTATTTTCAGGTGATAATGGGCGACCGGCCCGCGGCTGAGAGAGCGTGTAAGGACCCGAACCCAATCATTGATGGACGCAAAGCGAACGTGAACCTGGCGATCCTAGGAGCGAAGCCACGTGGAAACATACAGCCAGGTAGGTGTAGGGCTCCCAAGCACAAGTACTTCTCAAGATTTCAGGTTCTTGCCGTTGTTCTCTTTCCTCGTTCTAGTTCTTTCTTTAATCACATTTATTTCTTTCAACAAACTTCCTATATCAGTCATCAATTCCTTTTGTATTTAATTGTGTATTATCATTGGGCTACTGTATCAATGGTAAGAGGGTTCGAATTCCGACTGGGGCATAAACGAATGTCTGCGATTTTTCTGTCATGTTGGCCTGTGTAGGTAGAGGCTTACAATTGACTAATTCCGTGTCCAAGGAACTTCGCTAAATGCCTATGAAGAATGGTTTCATGACCAGTTATGAATCGGAACGGACCATACAAATGAATTTGCGATATCAGAAGAAGAAATGAAGACATTTATTTTTTCGAATGGCAGGACTAATCCTTTCCACGTAATATTTGAGGTTTTCACGGCAGTGACTATGAAGAATGCCGTCTTCTGGGATGTGGCGCCGTGTACATCATGTGTAAACCGGCGTTTCGGAGGAACGTATCTTCATCTTCAGGGTAGGAAAATCCGCGAGCGAGGAACCAACGTGAGCAGGTGTCTTGTGACTCCAGTTTGAAGCCGCCTGCTCACGCTGGTTCCTCGCTCGTAGATTTTTCTACCCTGAAGATGGAGGCGGTACGTTCCTATGAAACGTCGGTTTACACATGATCTACATGACGCCACATCCCAGAAGACGGCATTCTTCGTAATCCTTTCCAATTTGTGACAGGAATGTTCCTTCTGTGATAATTTTAGGAATCACAATACGGAACAAAATTATATGAACAGAAAGCAAATATTCAGCAGTTTTTTTATATTAAACAAATTTTTAATTTACTTTAAATAAAACGATGATGATTTGATTATGTTTTGCCGGAAATTACTAGACTTTTTCCGAAAGGTACATACCTTTGTTTGATTTCTGTTTTGTTGCAAACCCGGAAAGACAGAGTTTCATGGACGTAAAACAATCTTTCAATCAGGACGATGGATAAAGTCCAAAAACCCAACATATCAATCTTTCAATCATTTCAGCAACACGTGTCTTCAAACGACATAAACATATTTTAGTGGATTAGTGGCTAAAGCGAGAAGGATACACTATAAAAGCAATTCCCGTCCATTTTGCTAACACATTATCCTGTCCATTACTGCTCGCGCCGCACCTCAACCCATTCTCGATTTGTCATAGTCTCCTGTGGCACATTTGAAGGCACGGCCTAAACAAAACAAAACTGGCACATGATGAACTATTTTCTTTTATTGCTAGTGGGGTGGGACTAAGTCCCTTGTACTGCGGCCACTTCTGGCCTACTGTACCAGCCCCAGATGATAGGTGAGGGTGATTGTGGAACAATTGGTGGAATGAAGATTGGCAGGGGAAACCGAAGTACTCGGAGAACACCTGCCCCAGCGCCACTTTGTCCACCACAGATCCCACTTGACCAGAACCGAGATCGAACCCGGGACGCCGCGGTGGGAAGCCAGCAACTACATGACGAAATAACTCCGTGGACCAGAGTCCTTGAAAGCATCAAGAAATTTCCCACGCCATATGGAACCCGAAGATCCCCCCCCAGGTCCTGTCCAGTCTACACCCACACACAATTAAAGATCCATTTTACTCGCAAATCAGGCCTGTAGGCCTGCCTACTAACACGTGCAGATTGCAACAGGCGTAATAACTTACACCAGTGTTTCCTAAATGACACTTCACATCGGTCCAATATAATAAACACTACACGAAGCTGAATTTCAATTTCAGCGAACATTTCAGAAGCGACTCCTGCTGCCACTCACTTGTGGGTCTACATTACACAAAATGTGCATTACACTAAGAGCTGAAATTTCTACTTCAAACAAGATTTGAGGTTTTCCCAGTGGAGATTGTTCAGACTGTGGATTTACGGGTTGTGACAACGTGTGGTCTTAGAGGCGGATACCGACGTTTCGGAGGAACATACTGCCTCCATCTTCAATATTGAAGATTGTAGGGGTGAGTAATCGGTTAGGTTACGTAAAGAAGATGTATGAAGTTGGTAACTCAGAAGCACGAGAAGGGGAGGTCAGACGGAACCCGGTCCGGGCCAGCAGGAACGGTGAACAGGAAAACGGTCCTTTTCAGAACAGCAATGGTATTTTTATCATAGGAGAGAGATAGAATTGTGAGAAATGTCGGTCCCTTTTAGGCTCACGTTATTGTCTTCTGTCACATTCCGTCATAGGAGGAAGGAAAGTAGTCTTAAATATGTTTCCGATATGTTGAATGTTTATCTAAGTACAAGGACAATTTTCCGGCGCTGTGCACTGCAACACTGAAGATGCAAGAGAAACAGACGTAAAAACATATCAGCACTATAGAACTGAATAAGACGTGAGAGAAAGTACTGTCTCTAAATCTAAAAGCTATCCCTGGAACAGGCCGTGAAGGCCATAGGGTTGTGAGACGTTGAGGCTCCCACATTTTCCTTAGAAAATCGGCTCACAGATGGCGGTAAGGTTGTCAGACTTACGCACCAGTCGCCCTTAACCCCCCAGGAAGATTCCTGGTACTCATATCTGTTAGAGGCTGAGCCGACCCCAGGGCCATAGTGCGACTGGAAGGATTACGTAAATTTAATAAAAATCCACCTCATCGGGACTCGAACCCGAGAGCTTTTATTTACTATAGGATTCTGACGATGGTGTATAACACACTGATATGCTGGGATTTTGGACTTTATCCATCGTCCTGNCCGAGAGCTTTTGGCTTGTAGCATAATGTCTCAGCGTGCCCCACTATTTCTAAAACTAAACAATAATATTATTCCCATTAAAAGTAACAGAGTATATTAATATCTTTTCACACACTGTACTTAAATAATGCATTTGGAGCAGCCCTACATACCCACTGCCACCTGGTGAGAAAATTATTAACACACAAATATATTAACAAGTATTTCATAACGGCGTATGAATACGAGAAATATGTTGGAACTTGACCTACATAGTACTTCTACCGTGAATATGAAACCAGCATATACCACCGAAACGTCGGCAACATCACCCTCAACCACACGGTGTAACACCCCAAGAACAGAATTAATAACAATAATTAATTACCGTGAACACCTAAAGTCAGTAAATAAAATCATGTCATTAGACGGCCGTATATTTGCAGTGGCGTTACTACGCCGCACTATTTTGTTAAAATTAGACCACGGGAATACATCACGACAAGCAGATCAGTGGATGTGACCTTCATGCGTCGCTGCTATTTTATGAGTGCTGACAATATTTGGATATGTCATGTTCTGTACGTTTCAATATAAACGACATTGTTTCACAGTGAGTGATAATAATAATAATAATAATAATAATAACGGGACATGTGATGTGTATAAATTACACAGAAGGGGCTATTAACCAAATAGCTGTAAGGCTGAATCCAATCGGCCGTGCCATTATCAAGATATAAGCTACCGCATTTGTAGTCTACTTACTGGAGTGGCAGATGGAGCCGAATAGAAGTGTTATGAGCTGTGAAATATTTAAGTCTTGATGAATAATTTTGTAGTGGACGTGAGTGTACACGTCATGGGCAGTTGTTGGTGTCCGTCCATGTGACGCTCTCAACTCCCCCTTCAGGTACCAGGAAATAACCATTAATAACTACACAATTTGTTGTGGTTAGAACGCATGCGTGCAGTGAAGCCTAGAGAAGCATCACCTCCTCTAGCACCATCATAAAAGAACCCCACACCCCATGTTTATCAATATCTCACGCTAAGTGCAAGGTGTAATAAGCTATTAGGCAAAAAGTATTAGTTATGTCACTTGATGCCGATAATTCAAATTTACATCTATTATTAGAATAAATAACATACTGTGGCGTGCCACCTAAAAGCCAGAATATCTGAGTCATAGCTGGAGTCCATTGTTAGGCAACGGCTCGGTATCCAAGATTCTCCATCTTTGTCCGGGTGATAAACATGTTCATGAGACAACGCATACGTAACAGACCGTTACTACACAATTGAAAGTCAGATTTAGTGCAGTTTCCGCAGCAACAAATACAGTAGCTACCGGCGCAAAGAACATGCTAAACGGAACATTGAACAAGTCGTATTCTGGACCGTCTGACTGTAGAATATAACAGGCCAAACAGAACAGAGCAGAGCTAAGAGCAGAAGAAACCAGCAAATCGAAAAACCAAGACCCGCCAACAACAAATGGCAGAGTGAAGAGAGAATAGCGAAGTGAAGACGAAATGCGAGAGAAGAGAGACTAGCGGAGTGAAGAGAGAAGAGCGGAGTGAAGACGAAATGCGAGAGAAGAGAGACTAGCTGAGTGAAGAGAGAATAGCGGAGTGAAGACGAAAAGCGAGAGAAGAGAGACTAGCGGAGTGAAGAGAGAATAGCGGAGTGAAGGGAGAATAGCGGAGTGAAGACGAAACGCGAGAGAAGAGAGACTAGCGGAGTGAAGACGAAATGCGAGAGAAGAGAGACTAGCGGAGTGAAAAGAGAATAGCGGAGTGAAGACGAAATGCGAGAGAAGAGAGACTAGCCGGGTGAGATCTCATGGATACGTTATTTCTGAGCGATTGTGATTGCAATTGTAAATAACTTATCCTATAAACAGCTTCGTGTAATCCGGAACTCACCGATTTCTTGTCGCGTTACCAGGATAAGTGACAATATTTTGAAGTGATAATCTTTATCGAAATATGCAACAAGTTATCTTTACTTACATCTGCGCGGGAAGGGCCCCTGTGTCCAAGCACCACACAGTGAAAACATAGGAAAAATGGATGTCAGTCTGCAAGCATTAGATGTACGTTATTAGTCAGAAACACTGACAATTCTGTGAAGTGGGTTGAAGTGGATCAGATTCGGTTTCCGATAGAAAATTGTCGAGTTGGAGGCAACAAAACGTTAGCTAAATACAAGCAGATAATACGTTTTGCTTCATCAATAGGTTTCACATTGTAGGTTCCCTGCA